ACGGGGAGGTTGGAGGCGGGGAGGTTAGAGACGGGGAGGTTGGAGGATGGGGGAGGTAAAAGAAAGGGCTCCTCCCGGACCAGCAGTTAGCGTAATGGCTGTCACTAGACTCCCATGTAGTCGACGTCCCGGACCCGGTGGCTTAAATTCACACCGGGCGTGTGTGTGTGCGTGCCCAAGATCCCGAGAGGAGAATGGAGCAGAAGGGATTGCGGCCGGGCCTTCCCCCCGGGGGGTCATTTCTCGCCTTCTGTCCCTCTGTTTTTCTGGTGAGCGCATGCGCCCTATAGCAAAAATCTCTTGAAGGAAGGAAGGAAGGAAGGAAGGAAGGAAGGAAGGGAGGGAGACAGAGAGAGGGCTCCTCCCGTGCCGGCAGGCCCCCGGGGTGCTCTGAGGTGTGGAGCGCTGGCAAGCCCCACTGGTAGAGGGGAGCCCGCGGCCAGCAGGCTGTGCCCCAGCTCTCTGGTTCCCTTGTTAACAAAGTCATCTTGTTTTCCTGCTTAGGTGCCCCTGGACGGCGTGGCAAGCCTGGAAGAAGAGGCGACCCTGGTGAGTCCCAGGTTCTCTCAGCTCCTAAGCCAGGGTCCGGAAGCTTGCCGTCGGCCCGGACCTGGCTGGGGAGCAGCCCCTGCCGGCACCTGTCGTCGCTGTCCTTGGTCTCGGGCAGCATTTTTCTGTCCAGTCCCAGCCAGCGCGCCCAGAGCCTCCATCCTTCTTTCCCCTCCCAAGCCCTGGCCAGTCTCTTCTCAATGTATCTGAGACCACCTCCTGGGGTTCCCGCTGCTCTCACCCCCCTAAGCCTTCACCCTGCGTCCTCCCCGCCGCAATGGCTCCTCCCCTGCCTGGCCTCTTACCCCCACTGAGGGCAGGTTCTCGTGACCTGCTCACCCCTTGCAGCTCTCCCACTGCCCAACATGGCCGTCCCGGGGCTGCATCTCTGGTGGGGCACTCTGGGACACGTTCGGTCCAGCCAGGCTCTCTCTCCTAACCTGGAGGTGCCATGGGCATGGCTCCGGGTCTGGGAGACCCTGGCAGCCATACCCGTGCTGTCAAAGGTGCCGCGGGATCAGGGAGCCCCCCTCAGCCCCTTATCTACACACAGGCCGTCTGGCTCTTACTTGGTGGCCCGCATTCCTGACGGCGAAGTCGCCCCCGACCCGCCCTGTGCACGTGTTCGGAAGCTGCGCAGAGGGTGGTGGTGCAAAAGCTCCGGGGTTCAGGGGGTGCCGTGAGGTCAGCGCAGGCCTGCAGCCAGCTCACTTCCTGAGCAGGGACCCCAGGCAGCTGCCCCTCACTGGGCGCCTAGCTTGCTGCAGCCCCGACCGTCCGCCGCAGAGGCTGTGAGCTGCGGGGAGGTCAGGTGCAGAGGGCCCCGGAGAGGCGGTGCCTGCAGGCACCCCTTGGCCCGGTCTCGTCGGCAGTGTTGATTAAGCGCATGTCCCTGCCGGCCTGTTCAGGCAGCGGGGAGACATCACAGACAGCAGGTGGGACAGGGGTCATCATCGTGTTCAGACAAGCAGATTTCATCTTAGCAATCGTGACACGTGCTTGGAGGGACGGACAGGGCGGTGTGATGGAGATGACAGGTGAAGGGCAGTCTTCAACGGCAGGGCTGCATCAGGCTTGTCGCAGCCATGGGGACACAGCACGTGTGAATGTCCTACGTCCAAAGAGAGCTGGCACCTTGGGAGCCAAGACAGCCAGTGAGGCAGAGCACAGTGGTAAGGGCAGCAGGCCTGGGGCAGGCAGCGGGGTCTGGTGAGGGCAGCGGGGCCTGGCGAGGGCAGCGGGGCCTGGCGAGGGCAGAGGGGCCTGGCGAGGGCAGAGGGGCCTGGCAAGGGCTGGCTCACAGGAGGGCCATGCTGGCTTGGATTTTGTTCCATGTGTCGTGAGAAGTCCTGGGACAGGGTTGAGCATTTTAAAAAGATGCCCTCTGGGCCAGCCAAGTGGCACGGTGGTTAAGGCACTAGATCCCACATGACTGACCACAGTTCAAGTCTCAGACTTGGCGTTTGAAAACCATGACAGGTCTATGTGTGTGTCTGCCCAAAATCCGAAGAGGAGAATGGAGGAGAAAGGATTGTGGCATGGCCATCCTTGCCGGGGGTGATTTCTCACTCTCTGGCTCTGGCTCTGGCTCTGGCATGTGACCTACTACAAAAACTCAAAAAAAGAGGAGGAAAGAAAACCTGAGCCAGACCGCGTCCTCTCTGCTCAAACCCGACACGGGCTCCCATCTCAGGAAAGAGTCCTCAGAATGGCAGGGAGGCCCTGCCCTGCCTGCCCACCCTCCCCGCCCCGCACACTGGCACCCCACCCCGGCTCGGTGCCCTGAGTTCCCTCTGCCTGGTCCGTGTTTTCCCAAGGATCCGCAGGAACGGGTCCTCCACTGCCTTCAAGCTGCGCTAGCTGTCGTCTCAGGATGGCGTCTCCCCTGCCCGCCTCCTGAGTGCTCCGGTCTGTCCCTCCAGGGCTGCCTCCTCTAACTTGCGTGGGTAACTCCAGGTGACACGCGGGCATCTGTCCCCCTGGAGGGCACTCCCCAGCGTGGCGACCTCTGCTCTGCTCGCCGGGGTTCCCAGGACTCAGAACCACGTTGCACTCAGTGCCAGCACGGGCGTGCAGTGAACGCTGGCTGCGTGGACAGGCAGTGGTCAGGAGGTGGTGGGCACGTGGTCTCAGCCGTGGTTGCAGGCAGAGGTGAGCGGTGGACCCAGAGCAGGGAGCGTGGTTGTCCCACGAGGCTGCGGGGGCGTGTGGAGGCCACTCCCCTTTCCCAGTCCACGTGGTCAGGTGGAAGGTGACCGTTCACTGAGACGGGGACCACAGAGGGGCAGGTGGCAGCAGACCCCGAGTACGACTTGCACACGTTCATTTGAGGAATCGTCAGGTGATTCCACGGGAAGTGCCGAGTGGTCGACTTGAAATGGGGTCCAGGATTCAGAGGACGGTCTGGGCGGGAGAGAGACGTTCGAGCCCCTTCTGCTTCGTGTAGCCAGGGGTGAGGATGAGCTCTTTGGGGGGCAGGAGAGAACGGGGGAAAGTCCAGCTGGAGACACCCGTGTGCAGCCAGGTGGGACAGACCCGTCAGCCGAAGCGACAGCTGGCGGGGGCGGGAGGAGTGTGCCGTGGGGAGCCCAAGGCAGAGCCGTCGGGAAGGAGGGCGCAGGCCGGGGGTGAGTAAAGGACAGGGCGTCTGTGGGCTTGCTGGTGTGGGCAGGTCACTCAGACCTTTTGGGGGAGTGGAGAGGAGTTAGAGATGACGAGGACGGACGCCCCTTTGGGAGAGAGCAGGGGGGCCCGTAACCAGGTGGGGCGGTGCAGGCGTTTTCTCTGGCAAAGCTGTAGGGCCTCTGAGCCCTTGTCTCTGCAGCCCCCCCCGCCCCAGTCATCTCGCACCGGCTGGACTCGGCCTAGCTGGGCCTACTGCTCCTGCGGCTTCCTGTCCCCCTGCGATCCCTCCTGAGCCAGGCACTTGCCTCGTGCTCAGCAGTGGGTCGCCTCACCGCGTCCTGGGCACAGAGTTGGCAAGCAGAGGTGTCGGCCAGCTGGCGGGAGAGTGCGGGGGCTCTTGCTGGCCTCGTTCTCCAGGGCAAGGCTGGTGCCCTGCGTGGCAGCGCAGTCACAGAGCAGGCACTGGGAGGGGTGGGAGCCCTCCTTCCAGGAACAGCCCCTTCCCTGACCAACTGTGTGGCCCAGGACAGGTCCCTCGTCCCTGAGCTTCTGTGCCGCCACCTGGCAGCATGTCCCCCACAGGCAGTCGGGCAGGCCAGATACAGCGGTGGACTGTGACATGCGTTGCAGCCGCAGGGCGAGGACCCGGGGGTTCTGACACTTCTCGCCGCCCGCGCCCAGTGGGATGAGCCTCAGGTGCAGCCCCAGCCAGAGCTTCCGTACCCACCCCTTCGAGTCCCCCACCCCGCTACCACAGCGTCTGCTCAGGCACACTCGCCTGCACCCTCCACCATGTCTCTCTGCCCGAAACGCTCCCGGTCTCCCCTCACGGAAACGAGCAGCCGTGGGGAGCACCGAACTGGTTCTCTACGCAGCGGCCAGGGCTCGTTCCGCCAGGCGTGGCAAACCAGCAGGAGTGAGCCCCGAACAGCCCGCGAAATGCCTGTGTTCACCGACGTGGTGGGAGTTGTCACACCACCCACAAGCCACCCGGCCCGCCAGGGACAGGCTCCTCCTCCCCTGCCACTTGGCTTTGGGACTGACACCTGTTTGCGGAGCTGTGACGGAAAGCAGCCCTGTCACACTGAAGGCTGGTGGGGAGGTGTGGCCGCAGCGCTGAGGACAGGCGGCCCCGCCGCGCTGACCGGCTTCTCTGCTTGTGTTTTGCAGGTCCTCCCGTAAGTGTCCTGGTCTGCACGCCGCTCCTGACAGATAAGACCTCTGCTTCTCTCAGTGACCCCGCCAGGGCACAGGTGTTGGTTAGAGAAACGCACCCTTCAAAAAAGAAAAAGAAAAAAACGAGTCCCAGACAGGGCCCGCATTTTTGTAGATGGCACAAGCTTAGACTCCCGCAGGTTGTCCAGCTCCCAGACGTCCCGGGCCGTTCTCCTTCCAGGAGGGCTGGCCGAGCCTGGCTGCTGCAAGCCGCCCAGGGTCCATGTCCACGTGTTTTCTCACGCGTGTTGGCAGGAATGAGCCGGGCTTGATCAGCAGGCGTGGGGGGTGCTCTCTGCCGTGCCAGCCTGCTCTCTGCCCCAGGCTGCACAGCCGAAACCTTGCCGGTACAGCTGGCTGCTGTCCAGACGTCCCAGGAGGAACGCGCACTGCCTTGGAGAAGGACATTGGGCGTCCCCGGTCCCCTCCCCACCCAGGAGCCGAGGCAGCTGTGCATTCGGGAATGCTCAGTGGCCCCGGAAACCCGTCGGTTCTCATGGCAGGAGCTGCGTCAGCCTTTGACTGTAGCTTTCCACGCCTGATGACCCCCATGAATCTATTCAGGAAGCGCCCGACAGTCCCCTGGGCCGAAACGGGCCTGCGCAAGGAGCCCCTTCCAGACTGCCGCGCGGTATTCTCTACTTCCACTTTCCGCGCTTCATTTCCCGATGGGCACCCTTCGGGGTCCAGGCTTGTCCGGCAGGTAGACAGCGTGGCCACAGAAACGTGCAGACTGTGGCCACGGCTCCCGTTGCTGCTGAGCTGCTGTGACCACGAGGCTAGTTTGTGGACTCAGCATCACGTGGCAGCTGCAGGGCGATTCTTTTTTAAACTTTGGTATTAAAATGTTATGTATTAGGCAAATTCAGAAAATCACAAACTGCAGCCTGAAAAGGCCTAAAAAGGTGGATGGAGCCCACGTGTGGCCACGGCAGGGCGCCACTGCTCCGATCGGGCTCGCCTGCACACGGCATGGAGAAGCACCCGGGGCACTAACGGCCTGTGGCTTGTCTCCGCTGCACCTGTCCAGCTCACCCCTGCCCGTGGCCCCATGGCCGTGGGAGGGAGCGAGCACCTTCTCCAGGCCCTCGGCAGGCCTGACTCGGGTCTTAGTTTGGTCAGAGCGACTGTGACCGCCCCACGGAGCCCTACGTGGTTTTCACCATATGCTCCCACTGACGGGGGAGCGGGGAGGGACACGGGTGGGTGACAGCCCTGGTGGCCCAGTAAAGCCTCACGGCTCACGGCCCCCAGCCCAACCCTCTGTGGCAGGGAGCCACAGACCCCCCCCGACCGGCCAAGCTGTGTCCTGTCCCCTAGAGAGCTAGTTACCCACCAGCGCATCTGCTGAGAACCAGGCCGAGCATGGGGGGCCAGGCCCTGGCCGGTCTAAGGGTGGCCGTGTGGTTTTCTGCTGGACGTCTGATTATTAACACCATGTTAATCACTGCAGGGGCAGTCGGGACGAGATGGCTACCCGGTAAATTCCATTTATTTTTTGCTCTCTTGCCCTTTCCTCTCTGGTCAGCCTTGCTCCGAGTCCCGTTTCCCTCTGTCTGCTCCTCTCCTACCGCTGTGCTCCTGAGCCACTGCAGTCTTTCCGGGGAGGGGCTCGCATGTGCCCCATGGACACGTTCTGCAGGCCAGCAGGGCCTGGGCCAACCTGGGCACCAGCTCAGAGGCTTCGAGGTGTCTCGGGCATCCCAAATCCTCTGCCTGCTCCCTCCGCCCTGCACGTCAGCCCTCCCGGCCGGGTGACTGCCCACCTCTTCTGGGGGCAGGGCTCTGTGTCCCAGCCTGCCTGTCATGTCACCACGCCGGGACACCTTGGCCCTGTGGTCCCATCCCTTCTCAGTTCTACCTTAAACCCAAAGCTAACTCTTACTTGGAAGAGACGTGCCCGGCTGGGCTGAGTACCGCCACTGTGGGACGTGGCTGAGCAGCTGCCAGGGCCACGCAGAGGTTAGGGCCTGGGCCATCCAGGCCTGTGCCGAAGTTAGACCTGTCCGGGCCCGTGCAGAGGTTAGGGCATGGACTGTCAGGGCCTGTGCCGAGGTTAGGGCCTGGGCGCATCTAGGGGCCCTGGGCAGCAGAGAGGGCAGGGCTGAGCCCGCTGAGGGGAGAGCTTGCAGGACCTTCCTGTGGGCAGATCCATTTTGTGCCTCCGAGGCGGGAAGATACGGGGAGGGAAATATCGGTTGATTCGGAGCCTCCCTAGAGACCAGCTCTGAGGCCAGCCAGTGGCGTGGTGGTTAGGGTGGCTGGATCCCACATGGACGGCTTCACAGTTCAAACCCTGGACCTGGTGATTGAGAAACACCAGGTGTGTGTGTATGTGTGTGTGTGCGCGCGCCCAGAGTCCCGTGGGGGCGTAGGACAGTGCTGCTTTCTCCCTCCCTCAGCCTACCCCGTACTCCCCACCCCCGTGAGCACACACACCCTCCGGCAAAATAATTTTAAAACAAATAAACTAAGATCCAGAGCTGCCCAGGCAGGAGTGTCCCCGGTGCTGAGAGAGAGCCCCTCCGAGGAGGCCGAGGGGAGAGGTTCAGCCCGAGAAATGGTACCAGGCATCAATGTCCACGCTGTGGTTTGGACCCCTGGGACGGCTCGCCCACACTGCCCTTCAGACCCCGCCATGGCCGCATGGCGAAGGCCGCTCTGCAGCACCAGGGCTGGAGTAAAGGAGCCCGCAGGCCAGGGCTCCATGGCTGACAGAGCATGCCACGAGCCAGCCACCCAAGACCGAGGGACGCTGGGAACATTCACCTCCTGGCCAAAGCGACCCTGCTGGGTGGCCCAGGGTAGACGCTGGAGCTGTCTGTGCTCAGGGCGCCCCCCACGCCCACCCCTGCCTCCTGGTGTGGAAACACCAGGCTGTGTGTGAACCAGCATGGAAGGACAGCCGGCCAGGCCAGCCCACCCAGTGCTGCAGCCCTGTGGGCAGGAGGCCGGCGTGCCCTGCCAGGGTCTGAGTCCCTTCCCACCTGTGCCACTCGCTGCCTGGCCTTGGGCCAGCCCCGTGCTTCTCGGGGTCAGGATCTCCTTCCCTGTGAAGACACTAATGCAGGGACTGGGTCCGGGCGAGGTGAGGGCACACTCCACACCGACCGCCCAGGCCGCTCAGCCGAGGCCGCTGTCACGGGCCATCACCCTGCCGCTGGGGTGTGAAACAAGGAGAGTGGCGTGGGTGAGGTGTTTGGCCCCAAGGGTGGCCCAGAGAAGGGGCGCTGTGAGTGTTAGGGTGAGGGCGGAGGCGCCTAACAAGGGTCCGTCTGGCGTGAAGTTGGGGGCTTTCTGGGAAGGACGTGGCTGGGCCCAGCAGGCTCCCACTTGTGCAGGTGGCTCCGGCAGCCGGTGCCCATGCAGGCCCTCGGTGCAGACCCTCCAGCCTCCGGGGAGGCCTGAGCAGGGTGAGCCCAGAGAGGGGTGGGGGGAAGAGAGGTCACGGCCCACCACTAACCTGTTCTGGAGTGGCAGCCCCACCTTGCCACAGACCCGTTCCACACAGAGCTGGGCGTTGTTTCTGAGGGCTGGCCCGCAGTTGGGCTCAGAGCTGTCGAATGGCCGGCATGGGAGCCAGCCAGCTCACCCAGCGGGGCGTCCCCACGCACTCCCTTCTGGCTGTCCCTTCCGTGAGACCCACGGGGTGGGAAAAACCCTGCGCTATGTGTGTCTGAGCTGAAATCCCCATCCCTTGGCCGGGGGAGGGTAGAAAGCCGCCTGCTCGAAGCACGCTGTTTATAGATGGCTTCGCGTGGCCACCCAGCTTAGGGCGACTGCCCTGTGCTGAGGGACAGCACCTGCACGGAGCGTCACCACGGGCCCCGGTCGGTTAGGCTGTCTGGACCTTGGCACACCTGCGTGGACTGGGCAGGCTGCCGATCTCTCAGGGCCCCTGGAACTCACGCCTGCACTCAGAGGGGCGCCTGAGGCACCTGCACAAGGCCGGGCTCCGTGTGGCGCGCACGGCCCAGCAGCCGACATGCCCTTTCTCATCGTCCAGAGCCTGAGAAAGAAAGCCAGGTTTAAGAAATCGTCCCAGGCTCCCCAGCAGACATTTGCAGTGTTTCGAAAGGAAGATGACATGGAGAAGGACCAGCTTTAGAAAGAGTCTTCTTGGGCCTGCAGCTGGCAGGGGTCGAGGCGCAGGACTTCCAAGGCTGACCACTGTCTGAGTCCCAGACCCAGTGACTTGAAACTCACAGCAGGCACATGTACATGCAGGCCCAGAATGGGAGGAGAATGGAGAAGAGGGATTGCAACCAGGGCCACCCCCCGGGGGGTGATTTCTCACCTTCCCTCTCACTGTCTCTCTGTCTCTCTCCAGCAAGCACATGTGCCCTATGGCAAAAACCTTTTTAAAAAAGAAAAAATTCGGGAACCAGCAGTTAGCGTAATGGCTATGTCGCTGGACTCCCACGTAGTCGACTGCGGTTCGCATCCTGGACCCGGTGGCTTAAAACTCACGCCGGGCGCGTGTGCGTGCGTGCCCAAGATCCCGAGAGGAGAATGGAGGAGAAGGGATTGCGGCGTGACCATCCCCGCTGGGGGGTGATTTCTCGCTTTCTGTCTCTA